CTTCCTAGACAACCGTAGTACACAAGTCTACAAGAATACTAATTTGTTGTTTCATTTGTTTTTGTTTTTTATGGCTTATCAATTCTAAAGCTGATTTTAAGGGGACGCTTCCAGCACCTGGTATTCCCAAGCAGAACCCAAATGACTGACCTTAATGATGCTTAACTTTGTTAATCAAACGGAAACCGGTAGAAGCATACTTAGAACATTGCTACAAATCTAAGGGAAAACACCAGAGACTCAATCTCCTGTTATAACCATTAGACACCATGTGTAAATATGCAAATACTTGATATCTTATTACTAATTGTAATAATAACAAATCAGGCACATTAGTGGCAGATAAAATGGGGTGGGAGAAAGTGATAGTCATTGATCTACCGTGTCCATTTGATACAATGATAGAGTAAAAGGAAAAATAGAAATAATCAATTATGACCCATTGAGGTTTATATTTGCAAGTCTTTCGAAGCTGAAGACGGTCACAATCATACCGGTTAACATTGGTGTGTTTGGTATGGTGACTGAGAGAATAGGGACCTGGATAAAGAAAATTGGTATTGATTGCCTTGTGGAACTGTTTCAGAAAAGATGTCTGTGAGGAACGGCAAGAATAATCCGGATAGTGATAAACACTTAGAATCAGAGGAAAATGGCATGATACCTAAGACTGCTAGTTTTCACCTGGCACTCATGCATTAAAAAACATTTAAGAAAATAATAATAATAATAATAATAAAAGACGAAATTCAGGAAGTGTATGATTATTGACATATTGTTGTAACCTATGAAGGGTTACTGAATGAAGAATAACCAAAGCGGAAGCTGGAAATGAAATGGTAATCTTTATAATATCAACATAATACAATACTCGCCAGCGGCTGAAGTTGGTAAACCACTGTTATTGGTGGACTACTTAGCGTATTAACCCCACTAACAATAGTGTTCAATAGTGTCTAACGTATTTATGAGGATTGGGACATACACATTAGTGTTCATAGGTAAGGTATATAACATATATCATCTGAGAGAAAAACCTCCAAGAAAATTATCGATAAATAGTCCAAATAAAAGGACCTGGAGATCGAAAGTAACAAGAAGTGGGGAATGAAGATTAAGACTGTGCCAATAGTAATCGGGGCACTGGGCCTCGCGAGAAAAGGAATGGACAGTTTTACTAATAGTGACCCAGGTAACATCAACATACAAGTTGCCCAGAAGATCGCTCTACTAGGAACATACCAAAGTGAATAGAAAAGTGCTATCAATTAAATGACAATCCAAGGCCTAAGAATCATAGCTTGGACTCGGTTCTATAGCATACAAATCAGGAAACATACCATACGCAAATAATAATAACAATGTATGTCACTTATGCCATAAATTTGTTGACCACTGTTGACCACATAGTGTCAGTGTGCCCAGTCTTTGCTAAGAAAGAATACATTATTAGATACCACAGGCTAGGACAATATATTCATTGGCGTGTCTGTTCAAACTATGGTATTAAAGTCTCGGATGCATAGTACAAACACCACCCGAATGATGTCACAAATGGTGATGGTGTGACTGTTCTGTGGAATTTCCCAATCTTCACTGACAGGAAAACTGATGCAAATAGACAAGACATAATCATAAAAGATTTCAAAAAAGGACCCTGTCAACGAATTGACATGATTCCAATGTTTTCAAAAAGAGTATTTAAAAAAACTATCAAATTATACGGGCCTGCAAATCGAAATAATAAAAATGTTGAAACTTAAAACTACGATGACCGGGACACTGGGTAGGATAAAGAAGTGTGCCGAAAATTATGTGAGTAAAATTCCTGGACATCTCAGAATCTCAGAGCTACAAAAGTTGTCTTTATGCGGAAACTGCAATATCACCCACAAAACCAATTGCATAAATGAAACGTCCCAAATATGCACAGAAAACTCTTCTACAATTACACATTGGAAAGATGTTGCCACAAACATTAAAAATAACAATAATAAAGAGAAGATAATCTGAGTCACAACAAAGAGGACCCATTGGTGGAAGATGAAACAGAAAAAAGATTAATCCTTGATCCATTGTGTCCTTCCGATATGATAACAGAGTAAAAGGAAGAAGAAAAATGAACTTTGTACTCGCAAAGCTTTAGATGTTGCAGAAGGTCATAATCATACTACTTGCCGTTGGGGCACTTGGTACGGTCACTGACAAAATGAAGACATGTATAAAGAAAAATTGATTTATTACTTTTTATAAAAAGGAAGTCTTTTAGGAACGGCAACAATAATCCGAATAGTGATGAACACATAGAGTCAGAGGAAAATTCTAAGATCCCTGAGGTATTAATTCTGCATTGACATTTTTTGCAGATATTTAACCCATATCAGGAGGGATTATCGTGTACATTTTTAACGGTAAATTTATGCGAATTAAAAAAAAAATAATCGAGTCTCAAAATACAAATCACATCCTTCGACATCAAAATCAGGAGCAATTCCACATC